TCTTTCCCTTTAGTTTTTCTGTATACCATCTCTCGAAAACTGGCCAGAATCTTGTTTTCTCTCTTTTGTCTCTCTTCTTGGTTAAAGGATGCAAGGGCTCTCTTCTCATCAGCACTATAGATCTGGTTCTCTTTTCGCAGTCGCACAGCCTCCATTTGGCGATGCCTGCTACCACTCATTATGTAACCCGAGCATTCAAATGATGCAATTTCTTCACTTGTCAAGCCAATTTCACCTCTTCGTGGGATACGTTTTCCAGCTTTTACATATTCAGCCATAGCTGCACCTTCACCAGGTAACAGAGCATGGCCATAGTTCAAAGGTTTATCATCTTGAGAGGCAAGTGTTTTGGGAGCCTCTGGACCAATCAAATCTGAGGGTTCTTCAGGCTTTTGTTGATCCTTCCAGGGATTCTCCAGAAACTCTTTTTGGGACTCTTTAGAACTTGAATCACTGGAATCTTTTCTGCTCTTCTTAGACTTCTTTTTCTTATATTTCTTCGGTCTGCGTTTCTTCTTCTTTTCCTTTTTCTTGGCTTTCTTTGCTCTCCTTTTTGTATCTTCATCACTGGAGTCTGTTTCAGAATCAGAGTCACTGTCACCATCATCAGAATACTTCTTGTGTTTTCTTTTAGGGGACTTTTTCTTCCTCCTTTTCTTGGACCTTTCTTTTGAATGACTAGACTTCTTTTCTTCTTCTGAAGTAGAAGCTGAAGTGGTGCTTTTCTTTGGCTCTTCGTCCTCTACTGATGTATGTTCATCAGAGTCTGGTTCTGGATTCTTTGGAGAAAGTCCCCATACTTCAGGAGCTCCCAATTCTCCAATCCTCTCTCTCTCACTTAATCTCTTCTGCCGCAGGCTCTCATCCCTCTCCTTGTCCAGGAGGCTAGGCCATGGCTTGTCGCTCCCGTAGGGGCGTGAGTAGCCGCCATAATAGGCGGACGAGGAGGCAGAAGCGAAAGGGGCGCCCCGCGGCGCGGAGGGCCGCTCTCGAGAGCGTGACTGCGAGCGGGAGCGGTAGGCCTGGTTTCGGGAGCCTTGGCTGGGGCCACTCAGTTGATGGCTAAGGCCATTCCGGTCCCCGGACCAAGAGCAACAGTGCAAGCGAGAGCGGCGGCCCCGCGGGGAGCGAGAGGATTTGCTGGGCTTAGGGCTCTTCGACGAACTGCGACGCTTCCCACCGGAGCCCGAGGCCTCCCACTCCGGGCTGCGGGAGCCAGACACCGGATCCATAGCTGTTACTGGGTCCCCGAAGCCGTGGGAGAAGGGGGCGCTCTCGCGAGCTGGGAAGATCTCCGTTGCCTTGGCTCCCAGGACCAGCAGCCGCGACACCACCCGAGCCCGAGAAAACCTTGGAAACAGTTCTGAGCACGAGAAAACCTTGGAAACAGTTCCGAGTACGTCGGCAAATTCCTTCCCCGGACCTAGGCGGTCCTGCCAATGGGACGGGATGTGTGTATCCGTATCTGATCTTTCATAAAGTGAAACTTTTGTTGTAATGGTACGTATCAGACTGTAATCAGTGTTACAAAATCAGTATTCTATGGAGAATGAAAAAATAAAGCACTAACTGGAAAAAAAAAAGAATTATAGAGCACTCGTGCTGCAGTATTTTATGACATATTTTGGAAAACCAGAAGCAGAGTCAGAATCAACTTTGAAGACTGAGAGAGAAAGCTTAGATTTTCAGAAGAACATATAGCCTACATCCTCCAATCCCCTCATTTTAATGCTAAAAATAAGGAAATGATCCTGATCCTAAATTGCTTATGGTCATGATGCTGGACCCTGACATACACGCCAATCTTCCAAGAGTCAACAAAGTCAATAAAACTTCTTAAAGTGTTCAAATATTTTAGACTTGGTCTGACATTGGTATACTTATTTTGAATTTGGCTTTGATAAATTCATATTAAGTTTAAAAGACAATTATTATTTAGTTAAGTGGTACAAAAGAAATCAACAATGATTAGTTTTTAAAAAGAAGGGAGGAAAACTGTTCTTTTGTTATTACATCTGAAATATATGGCAAATATGTAAGTCTGGTACTTTAATAACTTTCTACCCTGATGTGAATTTCTTCACTTTCAATAGCACTTTACTACGTCATCTTTAAAATGAACATAAAATAAAATAGAGAGCAAGTTTTACAGGAGAGCACAACATATTCCCATGAGACTCCAAATCCACATAGGCTACTGAAACACCTAAAACAAGTACTAAGAAAATAGAGAAAAATAAAAGGCATTCCACAAGTAGGTGATGATCTTGAACCAAACTGAAGCCCTCTGGGAGGCCTATACTAAAAATTAAATATCAAGCAATAATTTAAAATGAAGTTTGGCTTCATTTGATTCTGATGTATTATTTCAAGTTTATTCCTCTTTTTCTAAATTGAATGTTCTTGATTCTATCATTACAACTAATTCAATTAGTAAACCTAAAGTCAGGTAGTAAAGAGATACATGTAAGGGATGTTAAGTAGAAAAAAAAAATTTGGTTGGATTGTTCATGGAAAAGCAGTATTATTTGAAAGCCTTTTATTCTATGATGAAATTTGGTGGGCTTAAAATTAATCCTAGCATAAATCTGTTTCCTACAGAGATCTCCTCAGAACCATACACCCAGTATATAAATCCTCAAGAGCAACATCTAATAATTCAATTTAAAAAAAACAAAAAACAGAACAAAGCAAAGCACAACACTGTAATATCTACTTTCAATCCAGCCATTATGGCCAAAAGAGGATGGGCCAGTTTTCCATCCTAAAATCAGCAAAATAGAAGGAAAGAAATATGAGTGTGTCTGTGTATGAGTGTGTGATACAAACTTTGCACTGCAAAGATTGAAAGTTAAGCAACTCTAAACATAATTAAGAATTATATCTGCTATGATTCAAGTCATTTACACACCAATGGATATTCAGAAATCAATATTGGCAGTGCACAGATTTGAAACACATGAACAAACACGAGAAAAGAAGGAGCAAAACACCAACATCATCCCAAACAGTCTGCAGTAACCTCTGTCTAGGAGGAGTAAAAAAGAGACTGATAATCAACACTAAAAAACAATTGTAGTTATAATGGCTATATATGTAGCAATTTGATTAAATGTAGGTCTATATTATTCTTTATGAGTGTACAGCAAATTTTGAATTTTGTTGATTCAGAGGTCCTTTCATTTATTTTGGTATACTTTTCCATGATGTAAATATTTATAATAATCTAAATATTTAATTCTACACTTATCATATGAGTGAATAGATACATATTTATTTATATGATTTAGGTTTACCTTTCCTATCAAAAAGTAATCATCTTAAGGGAAAAAACTCTCCTATTCATCTTGTTTTAGTACTTAGTAAAATATAAATCATTACTTAATATGGAATCTGTTCTTTTCACCTAATCAATTTTTTCATAAATAAAAAGAAGTAAGCATCATCATTTTTGCAGGTTGTTGCCTGTACATTATCTATCCATTTAAAGCATTGCATTTACTCGCTTAATCAGGCCATCCTCTGCACTAATAATCATAATAATCACTGTTGCATATTTATCATACTTTAATTTTCACACTGGTTTTAACAACTTCTAGTAAATCAATTCTAAATATCCCTTCTTTGGGAAAAATCATCCTTTAGTGTGCTACATTAAGTGTTGGTACATTCACTTTCAAAATCTTGACATTTTAATAATGTTTTAAATACAACACCAGCATAGCAAACTTCCTAGCAAGAACAAATACTGCTATTTCTACAAAGCAATTAAAATCAGTACTCAAAAACATGTTGCCACAAATATTTCTTTCACAGAATAAAAAATAAATTATATTTTTGAAAGAAGCATTTAGAAAATTATTTCTGTCCAAATTTGAACTTACATTTTAGTAATGCCCTAATTAGATACAGTTACCTAATGTTACGTTTAAACTGCTCCTTCAACTCTTCCTGCTACATTTCAAATTTTGAGCACACACCTGAGTTAAAAGCTCTCATAGTCATCTTTGCTTCTACTTTCAACAGTTCTGTAAAATAATTTAGCTTTTTGTCAATATGGTTATTAAATCAGGGTCATACTAAAGGCTGATCTAGCCGCAGGAAACACTCGAATGTACTAGATTCAAAGCTGTGTAACTCATGTGTCCTCGTGGAATTTTTAGTTGATAAGAAAAAATCCAGTCTCAGGTATTAATTTCAATATTATTTAATATATTTATATATCACATTATCATTAACTGTCAGGGAGCACAATTAGCAGCAGAGGAGGCCTATAGGCTTTATGCAGAGTGTGCTTTGTTCAATGACAGAAAGGAAAAACTACAGCTTCTCCTAGACAGACGCTCCATATTCATTCCTATAGGGCATGCCAATTGAGAAACACATTTCTGACGTTTCCCACTCTTAATTCTGCCTTGCCATCTCTGGAACCTACTTTATTCGGGATATATATCACATATAAATTATAAATACCCTATGCACACAATCATTCACTAGTGTTTTTTTTCTTTATTACTATTTTTGTCATGGCCTGGGTCTCTAAGAAAACTTCATTGCTTGACAACTAAAGTTTAACTGTTTAAATGCCACTTCTTAAATATAAACATTTTAAGGGAAATATATTTAAATTATTAGATTTCTCTGTTTCATTTTTTTGGGGGGATTCTGTGTTTAATTTTTTTAACATCTTTATTGGAGTATAACTGCTTTACAATTATGCTTTACAATGCTGTGTTAGTTTCTGCTTTACAATAAAGTGAATAAGCTATACATATACATATATCTCCATATCTCCTCCTCCTTGCATCTCCCTCCCACCCTCCCTACCCCACCCCTCTAGGTGGTCACAAAGCACCAAGCTGATCTCCCTGTGTTATGCGGATGCTTCCCACTAGCTGTCTATTTTACATTTGGTAGTGTATATATGTCCATGCCACTCTCTCACTCCGTCCCAGCTTACCCTTCCCCATCCCCGTATCCTCAAGTCCATTCTCTATGTCTGCGTCTTTATTCCTGTTCTGCCCCTAGGTTTTTCAGAACCTTTTTTTTCTTTTTGTTTTAGATTCCGTATATATGTGTTAGTATACGATATTTGTTTTTCTCTTTCTGACTTACTTTATTCTGTATGACAGACTCTAGGTCCATCCACCTCACTACAAATAGCTCAATTTCATTTCTTTTTATGGCTGAGTAATATTCCATTGTATATATGTGCCATTCATTATCCATTCATCTGTCAATGGACATTTAGGTTGCTTCCATGTTCTGGCTATTGTAAATGAAATGAACATTGTGGTACATGACTTTTTGAATTATGGTTTTCTCAGGGTATATGCACAGTAGTGGGATTGCTGGGTCATATGGTAGTTCTAATTTTAGAAGGAACCTCCATGCTGTTCTCCATAGTGGCTGTAAATTGATACAATTTAAATTGGTACAATTTACTTTTGCACCAACAGTGTAAGAGGGTTCCCTTTTCCCCACACCCTCTCCACCACTTATTGTTTCTAGATTTTTTCATGATGGCTATTCTGACCGGTGTGAGATGATACCTCATTGTAGTTTTGATTTGCATGTCTCTAATGATTAGTGATGTTGAGCATCCTTTCATGTGTTTGTTGGCGATCTGTATATCTTCTTTGGAGAAATGTCTATTTAGGTCTTCTGGCCATTTTTGGATTGGGTTGTTTGTTTTTTGATATTGAGCTGCATGAGGTGCTTGTAAGTTCTGGAGATTAATCCTTTGTCAGTTGCTTCGTTTGCAAATATTTTCTTCCATTCTGAGGGTTGTCTATTCGTCTTGTTTATGGTTTCTTTTGCTGTGCAAAAGCTTTTAAGTTTCATTAGGTCCCATTTGGTTATTTTTGTTCTTTTTTCGATTTCTCTAGGAGGTGGGTCAAAAAGGATCTTGCTGTGATTTATGTCATAGAGTGTTCTGCCTATGTTTTCCTCTAAAAGTTTTATAGTGTCTGGCCTTACATTTAGGTCTTTAATCCATTTGGAGTTTATTTTTGTGTATGGCGTTAGAGGTGTTCTAATTTCATTCTTTTATATGTAACTGTCCAGTTTTCCCAGCAACACTTATTGAGGAGGCTGTCTTTTCTCCATTGTATATTCTTGCCTCCTTTATCAAAGATAAGGTGACCATATATGCATGGGTTTATCTTTGGGCTTTCTATCCTGTTCCATTGATCTATATTTCTGTTTTTGTACCAGTACCATACTCTCTTGA